AATCCCCAGTTTGGCATTTAGTCACAAAGGAAGGAAATCCCTGTAAGAACCTGAAAATCTATTTTTAGAGTTAGCCTAATAGGATAATGTGGCTATGGTTTACTGTTCTTCAGATTGATGGAGCTTTGTATTGTTTCACTGCAAAGGCCAAGCTTCTTATATAAGCCTGATCTTGCTGCTGTTGAAAATATGAAGTTTTAAGGGCAAGGGAAACAACTTCCACTTTCTTTTTTCAGTATCTCAGGCAGACCTAGTGCTGCTCTGCAAGGCTGACAGGAAATCATCTGCTTTCAGCGCTTTAAAGAAAGGGTGACTGTAAGGGTGACTGCTGCAAGACAGTGATGGATTATAGCCATTTCCAGTCTTGATATTTCGCAAACAATATTTTTTTACAATTCATGTTTACAGTCCAGTAGGAGCCACAACCATTCTGCAGAGAAGAAATGCAATATAATACAGGTCTTCTCGCTGATGTGCCCTAGCAGCTTATCCCCAGATCCCATTTGGGGAGAAAACTGAGAGCTTCATATGACAGTAACATGCAGCTACGTCATAACCAGCTGCAGAGTATAAAGTGGGCATACCCTGTAAGTTTCAGTACAGCCTAGCTATGGTCCTTGTTTTAAACTGATCTCCAGTCTTCCACCAGCAAGAAATATAGGAGATATTAAAATGAAATGTATTACATTTAAGTGCCAAATTTTCCAAAAATGTCCACCTCCTTTTTTAAAAATGTTAGAATATTGCCATATGTGAATGTGAAACTGTGAAAGTATGACTCTGAAACCTGTCAGCTGTTCATCAACATGCTCAGAAGAAAAAAAAGCAAGCAACAGAAGGCTGGGTTTTGGGGAGGAGGTTGCAGAGGGTGGGGAAAGCAAGTATTTTTTGCTAAAAGGTAATGAGAAGCTTCTCAGAGACTGGCTCAGGGTGTTTCCATAGACAGTGCCACTTTCTGGGTCTCTGCATTAACCAAACTGGCTGGAGCACACCAGGGCTCCTATCCAGCCTCCATGCACAGATTTCTCTCCCACGGAGCTGGAATGTGACAGAGATGTGTCTCTGGATCCAAGAATAAGAAAGTTTTGCAATTTTGACATATCCCAGTGGTAGCTGATCAGGAGATTCGGCTAAGTAGAAGGAAAATGCTGGTAATGGCATAAGGGTTAGGTATCCAACCCTAGGGCACATACACCAAGAGCTCAATGTTTGCTCATGAGCCATCTCTTCACTTAAAAAAAAAAAAAATCATTTTTTAAATGACTTGTATCTTTATAAATTAAATAAATAATAAGCATTTCCAACTGGAAATAATGTATTATATTAATATTTCTGATAACTTCAACTTGCCTGAAACCTTTGCTTTTTTTTCTAATTTCCTTTCACTCAGTTAGTGCTCAAAGTATCTATTATGGAATTGTTCAAGTCACTGCTTGTAATACAGCATATTAATATACTCATTTTCTCTTTCTAGTAGCAGTTTTCCATTCCAATTTCCTTTGTCTGACTTCTGCATGATTTATTCTGATGATAAAATGCCTTCCTCTTTCATATAGTTTAATTCATATCTTAAAATTAAAATATGCTGGAAAGTTTGCTCTTCTTAGATTGCTCCCCTCCCCCTCTGATTTTCAGTAACCGTTCTAAACAGAGGCTTCCTTAAAATTCCTTCTCTTTTAACACTTTTAATTTCATCTAAACCTTTTGTAAGAGGATATTTAGGAGTAATTAATAATTTTTTCACACACAAAAAAGTCGCCTGACACACAGCTTGGTCTCAATTTGTTTAGCTGTATGTTTCTTATCAATTCTGGCTCCCGCTTGCAGAGCACACCTATAACGTTACTAACACCGTGTCTCAAAATAAGCTGGAACAGCAAAGTTTTCTCAGTGCTGAATGAGGCCTCAGAAGAATGATAAATGCCCATAATCTGTGCATCTCCTCAATACATGTCAAAGATTTTGATCTGGTCATCTCTGCATCAAGCCTGCCGTGGCACTAGTTTATCTTTCAAAATGATGCTCATTTTTGATGTTACAACTTTATAGCTTTTAAAGGTGAAAAAGCAACAGCCTTTGGTAAATTGTCTTAATGGATGCATTGGTTCTAATCTTATTTCTAGTCTGAATTTATCTAGTTTTGTCTTCCAGCCATTCAAGCCTTATTTATACAATACT